ATATGATAATTTGGAATAATTTTATGATTCATAATATTATTTTATTCTATTTATGTAAGCTAATAATCGTATATTATATGTATATAAATATATATATTAGCATAAGTTAATTTCAAATGTTACAATTTTTTATATAATCAAATTGAAAATTTTTTTAGTCTTCTAAAATTTTGATAACAAAAAAATTTTTTAGTGAAACTCAAGAATATTACATTTATTTAATGTTTCAAAAATATGTATTCCTTTTAAAGGGTTGCTAAAATGTATCAAATAATACAAATGTTTTTTTAATAGAATGAATTAACTTTTCGTCCGACAACTTTTCACAAAATTTCGAATACAATTTAAATAACACAATTTTGAAACTCATATCAGATTATACATTTGACGATTGAGGATTATAAATTAAAAATCAAAATTGAACGGATTAAAATTAAAATTATTTGATAAGTCAAATTCTAATTTTCAATTCGCAATTTTTAATTTTCAATGCGTAGTTTGACATGGGCTTTACGCTGACGTATTAACAATAATAATTGACTATTAATTGTCACAATACGCGTGGTTGTGAGATAGTTTACTGAACGGTAATTTCGAGATGTAAGACACGTAAAGAGCTTGTTTTTAATCGAAGAACGATGCCAAAATGTCTTCTTCCAATTTTGAACATGTTGTTTTCGAAACAAAAATATAAGGAACGTATTTTTTACACGTGCCTGTTAGTACTTTAAAAGAAACAACCCTCTTAAAAAAAAATCGATTACACACTATTTCGAAGCGAATTATAAAAGATAGAAAAAAATATTTGAAATAAAAGTTAAATAATTTTAAGGGTACGTAACATTTATATAATTAAAAAAAAGTTTTAATATTTTTTATAAATAAAAACCTTTTTATTTAAACAAATTTAAAAACAGTTATTATATATAAAGTACTCTTGAAACTAATCAACTTTTATTTAAAATTTTTTTTTTCATCTCCCATAGTTTCGACGATATTCACATTGAAATGGAATAACTTTTTTTTCTATAAGAATTGTTTCACCCTTTAAAAGTGCAAACGGACACATATAAAGAAATACGTGTTCTTTATCATTGTCTGCAAAGCATACTTAAAATTTATTAAAATCGGAAAAGGACACTTTGATGCTTCTTTTTATGAGATGAGTGAACTTGCATGATTCCTGCACAGACGTGGAAATATCATGCGGCAAGATGCGACGAAATAGCCAAATATTTTTGCCAGGGAGCCAATTGTGTATCTTGAAATAAGATGAAAATTACAAAAATTAATAAATTCATCAAAATACTTCATAATTTCGTTGATTAATTGGTCCTAGTGAATTTGCTCATTTTTGTAATTTTCATTTCATTTCAAGATATTCAATCGACCCCCAGTGCTCAGTCCGAGTGTAGGAGTCATTACGTTTGATATTTCCACAGTCCTACGGGATGTCCCGCGGATATTCAGAGACACAAAGTGCACATGCTTTCCACACAAATGGTATATATATTCTTGCGCGCGCGCGCGCGCGCGCACTCGTAGAGCTCTCTGTGCATGACCACTTTATTAAAAATAGCCCAGAGGTATTATTGACCCGCGCGTCATAACTTGGATTACAGACTTTCCAGTTGACCGGCTTAGGATCAAGCTACAGCTTGTCCTTCCAACCCGGAGCGCATCATATGGAAGACACAGTGAGGCGACGTGATGATTCTGTCTCGTGCTGCGCCTGCGATCGCCATCTAAATCGGCTTAATTTGCAGCTTTCTGCGTTTTCCGTGGAGATGAAATCACGAATGACTAATAAAACTCTGATTCGGGATGAAACTCGGCAGAAGCCCGCACAAATTACGAGTCACATTATTATCAAATGTGACCGCACGTTCTTTTATAAATATTTGTCAAATAGAAAGATGTTTATCTGATACGAGAACCATTTGATTTAACAATTTTTTTTATTGAGTAAATATTTATTTACTGTAATTTAGCATTATTAAAATAAATAGATATTTATTAAAATTTAATACATTTTTCTCTCAATACAGGAAAAGAAGGGAAGGACCATCTTTCTCAAATAAAATTTCCTTTGATTGCATCATCTCGTTCGTCTTGAGATCTATTTTATCAGATATTTAATTTTTTTATAAAATATGATTTATAATATATTAAGTGCGAGTACAGCGTATTAGATTTATTATTTAAAATAATGATTGTTCGGGATTTTGTATCACATATATATTGACAGATTGGCAGTGAGATTTATATGTTCATTTATATTTGTAATTTATAGCTGAATGTGCATATAAATTAAGGGATTAGAGAATTTCGAAGCGAGCTACCGAATCGAATTAATTAATTAAAACGTTAGAGCAAACATTCTAAATGCATAAACTATTGAATAAACAACCGAGCGGTGCTCATAAATGAGAAATATTCTACGATTAAAAAAGTAGAACAATATAGGTGAGGAATCAATAGTGGTGACATATGAAAAATTAGATAAAGTCTCAAGGGGAAGGCCGTCCCTTCGAGGCCGCGATTGCGAGGGACCATAAGTAATCGAGAATATAGCTAACGCGTCAGATGCCATAGTCGAAGGATACGTACGTCTGACATTGAATAGTCGCAACTACTGTTTACGACTATTCAATGTCAGACGTATCCTTCAGACACAGATGGAGAATGGATCATACAGGATCATGCGTTTTCGTAGGCGAGTCGAAAAGATCGGAGATGTCGGGCATCGAATCTGCGTATATAGAATCGCCCTACTGGAAAGGTTGATCTCTATATATCTTCTTCAGGAGTAGGTCACTTTCTATGGTCCGACACTTTTCTGCGGTCCAGTGACCGAATGTCGTTGTTGAACAGACAGGAGTGAAGAGAAAGAAAGAAAGAGAAAAAGAGAGAGAAAACGTTTATTATTGTTCCCAGGAAAGTCTTCCAAGAGCATACAAATAAGTGAACAAGGCATTTAATAGAAAAAGTGCAAGTAACAACAAAAAAAAAAGAAAAATTAACAAACGCATATACGGAGTAAAAAGAAATATAACTGGAAAAGTTACATAATAAAATAAGTGAAAAAAGACAAAAAAAAATGATAATGTAAGGAGAGAGAGAGAGAGAGAGAGAGAGAGAGAGAGAGAGAGAGAGAG